CCAACGGCGACACATACCTCATGAACGTCAACCAGCTGATGGACCGCATGGCCATGACACTAGGAGGACGTGTATCCGAAGAGCTCCACTTCGACACCGTCACCTCGGGCGCATCCGACGACTTCCGCAAGGTGACCGCCATGGCCACCGCCATGGTCAGCAAATGGGGCATGAGCAAGAAGATCGGATACATCTACTTCGAAGACGGCGAGGGCCAACAACTCACCAAGCCCTTCTCCGAAGACACCGCCAAGAATATCGACATGGAGGTCAAGCGCATCGTCGACGAAGCCTACAAGCAATGCAAGGACCTCCTCACCGAGAAGAAGCACGAAGTCGGCCTCGTAGCAGAGGAGCTCCTCAAGAAGGAGATGCTCGGCCGCGAAGACATGATTAGACTACTTGGACCCCGTCCCTTCGAGGACAGCCAAGATTTCCACAAGTACTTCTCCGGTGAGTACGGCAAGGCACCTGGATACATCGAGCCGCAAGGCAACGATGGCGTCAAGGGCCCATTGGTTCCTCCCAGCCCAGCGACTTTCAAGGATCTGAATGCCAGGAGGTGAGAGTGGCTGAAGATGTAGTTTTATCGATCTCTTTCTTCTTTCTTTCCAAGGTGCATTGTGGCATGGTTTTTATGACATGGAGGAGTGCTTGGCGATGATTCAAAGGGTTTCATTCCACTCTAGACGTAAGCATGCGTATGGTGTCGTGGCTTTTGTAGCATAGACAAGTGCGCATTGGCTTTGTAACAGTATTGTTCGCCTGGTTCGCAAGAGTTGGCCGGCGACAGAAATATTCATTGTAAAGTTCAAAACTTTCGTTCTCTATGAAGTTGTTGTGATACGGGTGTGTACCTTTCGTCGACAAGTTGCGTCCTGCACTTCGGGTAGGCTACCTCCTCATACAAGGAAAACACTGGATAGGCAGGCAATGTGCAGCCTACATCAGGCCAACAACACGCGACTGAGAAGATGTAGGGTTGATACAGGCCTCACGATGTTCAGTTTTTCACCTGAATAGGGTGCTTTAACTGGATTGTGGGTCACAGCAGAGGAATTGGTAGCTCAGTGTTCGTTAGAGGTGAATGGTGTATTGTATTGATAAAGCTATGGAGAGTGAGAGCTGAAGCCCACTGCGCGTAGACAAAGAAAAGAAGAAAGCAAGTACTTTCGTTGAGTTTGATGGATTCGGGGATTCGCATGCTGAAAATCGAAGGCAAGAATATCAGAAGAAGAAGATGGCTTTTGAGACGTCAGAGACATCCCGGGACACGATCAGAAACTTGAGAGTTTTAGAGAGCGCATATGATGTGCAAAATCATGAGGGAAGAACTCTTGCCGCCGTCTTCATGGATCGCAAAACCGCCATACTGAATATGAGTGCCTGAGATATTGTCGCACACTGCTAGGCGTCGGTGAAAGCCTCTTTCCTTCTCCGATCTTTGGCTTCGGCGGCCTGGCGTATCAGTGCTTCAATGCTCTCTGTGGTGTCCCATTCTTTCCGCCAGTCACAGCATATTTCTTCTGAAAAGCGCTTGAAGGGCCTTTCATCTGGCTTGTCAAAAGCCTTGGAGATCCAGCGTTGCGCTGGCTCTGGATCGGCGTTATGATCAAGTAGAAGCCTAACCATAGTCTCGTCGCATCTCTTGACGGCTCGGACCAGCGGATATTCGAGGTTGCCCTCTGGGTTTCGCAGACCATTTGGACTCAGATCAAGCTTCAGGTATCTCGTGGCGAGTTTGAAATCGTCCTTTTCAACCGCGAGGGCTAAGAGAGAGCCGGAGAGTGAGAGTACATGACTGTAGAATTTTGAAGGGTCTAAAATGTTTCGACTGATCAAAGCCATGGCAAGACGACTCATGCGACCAACGCCCCAAGTATCGAAATAACTGTAGAGGCGTGCCACTAGCTTATATTTTGCGGCGGGGGTGTGATCGTGGTCCAGTATCCGGTGTAGAAACTCAGTCCTAGGAGCACTAGTAGCTGCTATGACCCAGTCTACTATGGAATTTGGTGGGGGCTTACGAAGATGCTGAAACCACCAGTCTATGACAATGATGGCAACATTCCAGTGTCCAGACCGAATAGTGCGATCGATGATGTTACTCAGGTGCATCATCGGCTTGGCCTTAGCTGACTTCATTAGACTGCTCTTTGCGTCTTCCAAGAGCTGAGCCACGAACTCGATAGATCCATATTGCGCAGCGACCTTGAGAGGAATCTCATAGACTTCGGTTCTATTCCACACAGAGACGCCTTGAAAGAGATAGTGGGAGACAAGCTCCTTGTCTTTCATCAATATGGCGATCGTTAAGCAATAGTTTTCGACCGGATCGCTGGCGACTTTCTTACACTTGAGGAGGGTGGGCTTGGTGGCGAGTCTGAACAGCAAGCCCTTAGGAAGGTGATTGACGATGGCGTCGCAAACTCGGTCCGTATAGGCCTCGCGAACTGTCTCCGATGTCTGTGATGTAGTCGTCATGAAGTGCTCAACGACGTTACGAACGAGACTGGGCAGTAGTGTCGGAGCCCCATATAAGCTTTTGCATCGGTATGTAAGGAACAGCTTTACGTGTTGGAGGAAGAATCGTTTGGCTGCCGACTGAGCGTATCTGATCATGGGCTGTCTGCCGAAGCACTCTTCGGAGATGAAGGCGGCGAATGTTCCTAGAGCGAATAAGTTTATGTTGGGAGATCATCAGATGGCACTCACTGCAGACATCGCGTCGTTCCCATGCCTCACTGACACCAACTTTATGAACGTAGCTCGCGATGATCTTCTGAAAGATCTCCGGCGGAAGATCCAACAGATCCATCATGATTTTGCTGGAAAGCAGTCGTTGAAGGGCTAGTCGAAGTCAGCCAAGTGGGGTGTAGAGATCCAGAGATGGTGTTGAGGAAAAGAAGTCCTATATACGATGCGTGAAGTCGTCCAGAAGCTACCTTCGACAAGGGCGCTAATGTGTAAGAGAGTCCAAGGTGAGAGTGAGTGAGTCGAGATAAGATGAGGGATCGTGAGATTGTAGGTGATGAAGGTAAAGGGAGGTTTGCTGGATATCATGCCGCGCATGGCGAGAGACATCAGGCTGTGCTGTGCCTTCAAAGCCATATGAAAGCGCGTTTCGCAGCACCGGAGGAGTATTCGGGAAGGTGGGAGTGTATGCAACGTCTGGAATAGATGAAGGCATAATGATCGTTCGTCGATGAAGTCGCACTCGTTGGTGTGGAGAAGAGGATGCACGGATAGTGATGACGCACCTACTTACCTACCTAGGTACCTAGGTAGGGAAGGAAGGTACCGTCAGGACACGTGATCTGTCAGACACGACCTCGGGAAGCTCAAGATCATTAACAGGTGGTAGAAGCAGAAATCCTGTTCTCGCAAAAGGGTCTTTCTAGAAGTAAATATGTACACTAATCAAAGCTCACCAACATCGTCTCCTACCGGCCATGCCTTCCACGTTCAGCAATGCGAAAAGTACATGAAGCACAGCAGCTCCTTCCCGATTCAACAAATCTAGCAGGTACCCTGACCATTAGGCGTACCACTCTTGTAAGCACCCTGCGCATCACCAAGGCACTCAGCAACAGTAACCATCTTAAGCCCATTGTTCTTCGCCCAGTTAATCAACCAAGGCGTGAGCGTGTTAACCGTGCTGGCATAAGTCTCGTGCATGAGAGGAATGTGGCCATTGCCACTGGTACCAGCCTGTTGGAACACCTGCTGGCTCTGCTGAGGCGTCTTGCCGTTCCAGTCGCCGGAGTCGACGTCGTCGGTGATGACGCGGTAGCCGAGGGTCTTCATCGTGGGGAGCACGTTGCCGCCGGTGGCAAGGTAAGGCGGGCGCATGTAGGTGGGCTTTACGCCGATGATGTTGACGAGGGCTTGCTCGAGGCGCGTCATTTGCGACGTGAGATCGTTGGTGGAGAGGGAACCGAAGTTCGAGGGGTGGGACCAGGTGTGGGACGCGATCTGGTGGCCGGCTTTGTGCGCGTTTTGGAGGGCGGTCTTTTGGTTGTAGATGCAGCCTGTTTGTGTTAGATGGTGGTTTCAGCTCGTAGTAAATGAAGCATATACATACCGTAGAGCGATCCAGTGACGAAGAAAGTACCCTTAGCTCCACCAGCAGTCAGGGTGTCGACGAGCTTCTGGGTGTATTGCGATGGGCCATCATCGTAGGCAAGAGCGATTTGACCAGGGTTGGCGCACTTGGTGATGACTTGTCCGGCAGCAGGCCCAGCCCGCTTCATCATGTCGAGAGGTTCGGGAATCGGTCCAGCGATGGCAACCGCAGCAAAGGCCGCGACAATGAAAGACTTGACACCCATGTTGATGAAAGAACGACTGTTTGAACGACTGATGTTTCGAACTGCTCAAATTGGAAGCCAATGCCCTCCATCTTATGTATAAACGCCAAGGCCCCGCCCGCTGTCCTGAGGTCATTCCCGTGAAGCTTAGGGGCTCTTGGCTCGTTTATGGTAGACGACATGCTTAAACTGCTTGAACCGGGTCATCGGAGGCGGCGAGAAACCCTGTCCGGTAGTTGCTATAGTAGAAGCTCGGATGTTTGGTGACACCTGTCAGTGTGTCGCCGTTTTGGCCAAGCTAAGTGAGGCATGAACTCTATGTCTATGAGAACAGCCATGGAACCACAGCCGCCTGTGTTGAACATCGCTCAAGATCCTCTTGGATTGACATCACATTAATAAAGATGTGCCGTTCGCCCGGAGCGCGTTCAGATGTAAATTCGCCGCGTCTCATTTCTCAGATTCCCGCCGGCTAAAGTCTAAATCCGGGGAAGCTTGGAAACACGCCATGTGGAGCCGCGTGACAATCCGCGAAATTAATATAGAGGTCCAGAAGGCGGTGGAAGAAGTCTTCTGATGTAGATTAGGAGTGGCGTGTCCGTGTAATGTACTGCGACATCGCATCTTAAGGAGGGATTGCTGTCGACCGCTGCTAATCTCGTACCGCTTACATACAGTAGCTGCACCACATCAGAGCGGCGCGATCGTGGTCTCTGAAAAGAACTCGGAGGGCGTGCTTAGCTGTTGCATGCTGAATTCGATGACCCCTGGAGGCCCATCAGGCCACAAGCCGAATTCGTTGCCAACACACGCTGCGCCATCCGGTGCTATAAGAGGTATCCTCCCAAGGAATTTGGAGAATAGCGACTCTTCAACATGATGGGCAAAGTGCGACGCATCAGAAAGCGTAGATCCTCGTGCAAAGACGGAATTGGTGGCAGACTTGACAGTATGTGCTAAGCGCTTCCCTTCCGGCGAGTTGAACCCACCCAAAGCTTGCCAGGCTACCTTGATAGCTACAAAGGCTATGGTATTGGATTGTGGTGCACCTTCCCGCTGCTCGTACTCTTTCAACTCCAGGCATTTGGCGATTTTCATCGCGGCGGCGTTTCGCAGTGCGGTGTTGACAGGCGATGGAGATAAGGAATCTTTGATCTGAATGACGCATATGTATGCGGTGTTGTAAAGCATCAATGCTGTTGCAGAAACATGGTTGGCCACTCCCAGTATCTTCGCCATGTCAGATCGCTCAGTCGTTTCCGCTAGTTGATTCCGGTTCAAGACATCCCAGAATGGACGTAGCGCTTCCAAGTTGTTAAGCACATCCTCCACTTCGGTAAGCAAAGATTCAAAGCTCTCTGGACATGCTTTTGAGCGCAGTAGAGCATTCCGCTGGCTGATGAGGCGGGTGCAGTCAGCCAAGATGGAGAAAACGTGGTGTTGGAAGAGACCCGACTCGTTGGAATGTGCAGACGGAATTCGCTTCCATTCCTCGGTAGCGTATATAGAGGGCCTGGATTCCGCAAGTGCTCCAACGATCGAAAGAATGCGCAAGCCCCGAAAGATGATAGCGTTGATGCCTTCAGACTCATTGGGCGGGCCTCGTAGCATTGCAATGGCGTCGAGACCTCGCAGATGTTTCAGAAAGTTCGTTGGTCCAGTAGGTAAGAAGATCTCGAGAAGCATACAAGACAGCGACGTAAGTAATGTTTCGTTCGTTGTCTGAAGCTCTGTACGAGCAAGATGTAAATTGAGCTGCCGCAACACCTGACCATACTTTTGATAGCCTTTGGTCGTGATATTGCCCTGTCGATGCTGGCTACCGAAGAAGGTGGTAGACAGGCTCACTATGCCTTTTCGCAATAAATCAAGACCAGGATCGTCGCCTCTCATAGATGCGGCATGGCTCTCGATCATGTTGCAGGCTATCTCAACAGGTCCCCCGCGTAGCAAGTTCTTTCGCGTATATGCTAAGCAGATATCATCTTCGAAGGCTGCGAGAGATAACTGGTTTGGAGTAGCTATCCTGACGATTGCGTTCTGGGTTGTGTTTGCCGGTTTGCTTTCAAACGTGCTACTCTCATCGATCCAAGTAAGGTCTTTGGGCCCTTGACATTTGAGTCCACGCTTTATGCATTGTCCACATTCAGGGCGGCTTTCGTCTTGTCACGTCAGCACATGCAGCAGGTCTCTGCAAATGTTGACCATGCGAATGGACATACCGCATTTCACACGCCGGCGACGACAATTAGCACAACCTTTTGATCGACCACCCCGGCTGACCATGTTGTACTATGTATACAAAAGGAAAAGAACGCGCTGTATCGACTTTTCAACATGCGGGAAAGTAGGAGTTTTGTAGACGGGATGTGTCGCGATACGTCGCGTGGTGGGAGGATGAGTTTGGGCTTTTGTTCGATCCTAGATAGACGGAATGCACGATATTCATATTGAAGGATCAGCAGCTGAAAGGGCAGAGGGCGTTGAAGCTTGGTGGCTGAGTTCGCTAAGTGTTCCCCGTATGTCGAAGGAGCGGGCTAGGCAGACGCTAAACCTCTTGGCAGGGCGCCGGAAGATAACGCCTTAACTAGCAAGAGGCATCTTTATTGTAGTAAAGTGTTAATATAGAGTAAGGTAATAAAACGTAGTTAGTAACTCTATATAGTAACTTTATTATAAGTATATTTTTTAAATACTTTATACTAACTATATATAACTATAGAATTTAATAAAACTTTTTTTTTAATATTTACTATAAATATAGTACTTTAATAATAATAATAATATACTTATAAAGAGTAATAGTAATAGAAACTTTTTTAGTATACTTAAAAGTAGACTTAAAGATAGTAATAAGTAAGCTATAAAGCTATAAATATTAGGCTCTAGCCTATAAAAGTCTAGGCTAACTTAGCTATAGGTATAAATACCTTAGAATTACTATTATAGCTTAGTAGTAATTTATCTCTAGTCTTTTTAGAATAATATACTTAATTATAGTTTAATATTATATATTTAGTATTTAACTAACTTTATTATTTAATATTTAAATTACTTTACTTTATAATACTTTTATATATACTATTTAAATATAATAAGCTCTAAAGTAAGTTTCTTTAGTATAATATAATATAGTAGTAAGTAAGCTATACTATTCTTATATATAATAGATAATAACTAGAAAAAATTAGCTTTTATATTTTTAGAAGTAGTAATACTACTTACTAAAAAACTTATAAACTTATTAAAAGTCTTTTTAGATATTACTAATTTAGTTTTAATTATTAGAAATAGTAATACGCTATTAAAGCTTATTTTAAAGCTAACTAGACTTTTATAAACTACTACTACTAAAAATAAAAATAAATAAACTACTTTAATTTATAAACTTAAGAAGTTACGTAAGTAGAAATAATTAAAGTATACTTATTAAGATATAGCTTATTTTAGAAAATTAAAGTATAAGATACTTATAAGTAACTACTTAGCTTTTAAAAAGAATATTACTTACTATACTTTAGCTTTAAAAAGTAAGTTTTAGTTAAACTTAAAAGCTTTATACTTTAAGAATTTAAAGATATTTACTATATATAACTACTTATAGTATAACTACTAAGTATATAATTATAAAGCTATTTTTAGAAAAGTATTTTCTACTTTTCTAATAAGTATTTAAAAAGTAAACTTTACTATAAAATTTTTTAATAAAACTACTTACTTTACTTAAAATATTTACTTTTAAAACTATATAAAGCTTAAAGTATTTTAAATACTTATTTAAGAAAAACTTAAAGTAGTTATACTTAATATACTTAGTTCTAAGTTATTATAGTACTTTATAGTTTATAATAGACTTAAGTAAGCTAAATAGAGACTAGATTAAAATTCTAACTCTTTTTTAGCTTACTTTAATATACTTTAAAGTAAACTAAGTAACTACTTAAAAAGGTAGTGCTATATAAACTTTATAAGCGCTTTTTTTTTTAATATTTAGAAAGAACTTCTACTTTAAGACTAAAAAGACTATAATATAGTTTTTAAGCTTAATATTTTAGCTTACTACTATTAAAGTAAAATAAAGTATACTACTATACTTTTTAAGTATTTAGCTTATAAAAAAAAGTTTTATAGCTATTAAGTTTAAAACTTTTTTTTAAAGTCTTCTTAGACTTAGAAAAAAGCTAAAAAGATAAGTTTAGTAAAATCTAACTTATAACTAGCTAAATTAAACTAAAATAGTCTAAAAAACTCTAATATAACTTATTAAAAGTATAATAAGACTAAATACTTTTAAAAAAACTATTTAAAGTCTAAGAAAAACTCTAAAAGCTTATCTAGCTAGAAATTAAAAAAAGATAGTAAGTAAAAAAGCTAAAGTTTTTCTTAGCTACTTATATTACTTTAAATTTAGTATTTTAAAACTTAGAACTTTTTTATAATATACTTTACTTTAAGCTAGTAAAGCTACTAATAGTAAAAGTATTACTTAGCTAATTAGAGCCTATTAAAGCTCTAGTAAATAAAAGTTTCTAGTTAAACTTTATTTTAGTATTACTTACTATAAAGTAAAGCTTACTAGTTTAATTTTTATCTAAGCTATTAGTAGATAGAGTAAATAGTAAAGAATTAAAGATTTATAGTACTACTATAGTAACTATAAAAGTAGTAAATTTTTATAAAAAATTAAAAATTTAGAATATTCTATATATTATTATAGAAGTCTATAAGTATTAAATATACTTAAGTCTACTCTAGATAGACGCGTATTACTTAAAGATTAGCTACTTTATATAAAAGCTACTTTTTTAAAGTACTAAGTTTAAAAATAAAACTATTTATAAAAAAATTATACTAAAAAAAACTAAAAAGTTTAAGAAAACTATATATAATTTTATAGTAAATATATATAGCTATTTTATTACTTTAATACTTTAGTTTAGTTTAGAAGAAGCTAAAAAGAGTAGTTTATTTCTATAATATACTAAGTTTACGTACTTTAGATTAGAAGATAACTTAAGAGTTCTTACTAACTATAGTTTATAAAACTTAGCTATTAACTTACTACTTAGAACTATAGTACTTTATTAGCTATTATATAATTTTTCTAAAATAAAGTTAAAGCTCTTATATAAGTATTTAGATAAGTACTTAGTATAAAAGTAAATTAAGTATAGTAAGTTTTTAGTAAAAGCGCTTATACTCTTTACTAAGAAAAAAGATAGTAGTATATACTTATATATTAACTATAAAGGCTTTAATAAAGTTACTATTAAAAATTAGTACTTTTTACTACTTATTATAAAGTTTTTAGAAAAATTAGCTAGCGCTAAATTTTATACTAAACTTAATATAAAAGAGGCTTACTATAAAGTATATATTAAAAAAAGTAATAAGTAGAAAACTACTTTTTATATAAGATATAGTAGTTTTAAGTATACTATAATACTTTTTAGCTTTATAAATACTTCTATATAGTTCTAAGCTTATATCTATTAAGTTTTTATAAAATTAATTAATATAATCTATATTATATACTTAGATAATATTTTTATTTTCTCTAATACTAAAGAAGAATATAAAAGCTATATTAAGAAAGTCTTATATAAATTATATAATATAAAGCTATTTTTAAAGCTTCTAAAGTATAAGTAGTATATTTAGTATACTAAGTACTTTAAGTATATAGTTTTTTCTAAAAGAATATAAATTAATAAGAATAGAATTAAGATAATCTAAGAATAGTCTAAGCTATATATAGTATATAAGATTTAGATATTTATTAGCTTTATAAACTACTATAAGTAGTTTATTACTAAATTTTCTTAGCTTACTTTACTATTAACTAAACTAATCTAAAAGAAGCTAGAAGTAGCTAAAAATAGCTACGCCTAGTAGAGAGAAAAAAGTTAAATTCTTAACTTTAATAAAAAAGCTTAAGAAGCCTTTTAGAAGCTAAAAGACTCTTTTTTAAGTATTTCTATCTTAACTTACTTTAAGTAAAATAGAAAGACTAAGACTAAGGTAAATATCTTAAGTAGTATAATTATAAGTATATTAAGCTAATATATACTAAATAGAGCTAGAAAGTACTAATAGTATCTAGTTAACTTTTTTTTATATAAGCTAATTATAGTAAAGTATAATTATAATATATATAACTAAAAGCTACTTATAATAGTTAAGAGTCTAAAGTATTAGTACTAATACTTAGAAAGTATATACTTTAATTTCTAGACTAACTATTAAAACTTAAAATAGTTTATAAAGACTAAAACTCTTAACTATTAATAGATTAAGTTTTATATTATATTATTTAGATTTAATTTTAATATTTACTATAAAGTAAAGTTTACTAACTTTATAAATAGATCTTTTTACTACTTTAACTATATAGTAGAAGTTTAGAAACTTACTTAGAAGTATAATAAAGCTTTTATCTAGTTTATAAAAGATCTTATTATTAATAGTAATAGAATTTCTCTTTTAGTAGCTATAGTATAAATATACTTTACTAAGTATACTAAAAAATAATAAAACCTTACTAAGAGCTTAAAAAGCTTTAACTAAGCTAGTAGATATACTATACTAGAACTTTAGACTCTAAAGAAGTATAATAAAATAAATTATATCTTCTTAGATACTTTAAATAAGTCTAAGTTTAAAAATAACTAATCTACTCTAGATAAAGCTAAAACGCGCTATTATATAGTAAGAATATTAGTAACTACTAAAAAGAAGTTATAAGCTCTCTAAAAATATTATAATAACTCTCTAGTAAGCTACTTTAAAGTAAAATATACTTTAAAAAAGCTATAAAGATACTACTTTTAGAAAAGTATATATAAGAATATAAAGTAATACTATAAGAATTACTTTATATATAGAAAGTCTACTTTTATAAAGTATAAGTCTTATAG